CTCTGTCCCCACAGAGCATGCGGCATCCTAAAGCAGAGAAGTCATTGGTATTCGCTGGAGTTCGCCTGGTTTCATTTTTATTGTTTCAGAGACTTATTACTCTTTCAGAGTGGTTCCAGGTCTGCTGCCTTTTCTCAGTATATATGAGCTGGGTAGTTGCAGGAAACACTTTAATTACATTTTAAGTAGAATAAAAGCATAAGTATATTTATGAAAATCCTAACAGAAGGTGCAAGGAGACTATTAACTTAAATCCCCAAAATACATAAAGTGTTTTTTCATAATAAAAATTCCATCATTGAGGCATTAAATTGTACCTGCATATTAAAAATCTGCCCTAAACACTAAATATTGCCTAAATGTGCACATTGTATTCAAAGATCCCCCCGTAAAAACTGCGCTGGGACTGTGGGCCTGCGTCATCTGTCCCCCAGGCTTGTCCTTAAATTGCTGCTTCTGGGACACAGGGCCCTCCGCCACCCCACGATGGTTTTGGCTTTGCCTCTGTGCTGTATCAGTAGGTGGTGTTTTTCCCAAATCATCTGCTCTTTGGCTGAATTTGATTTTAGTGAACCTGCTCAGACAGAAACAATAAGGACAGCAGCAGAGGAAGAATCGGAGGGTGCCCTTAAACTTGGATGTCACAGATTGAAGGAGCAGAGGGCAGCGCCTCCCACCATCTGCCCACAGTGGCCCGTCTTTGCCACAAAAGCCGACTTCCTCCAGGAGCAGAGCTGTTTCTGCCTCAGGACTGGAGGGAGGCAGCAAAGGCCTCGCAACAGCTTTGGAAGCAGCCACTTTTCTCTGGATGGAATACAGATTACCGAGTGGTGAATACTTTCTTCCCAATAATATTAGCTCACAGAATTCTAATCAAAGCATTTACTAATTTGATTTATGTACTTGTAAGGGAACATGCATAACTTTTGACCTCTTTAAGATAGAAAAGATAACTAAAGAACATTTTGTTCTTGCCCAAAGGGAAATACACTGGAGAAACTCTTGGAAAATCTGCTTTGATTTTGCTTAATTTATTAAAAGATATTTCAAAGATAAAAGTATATTTAAAAGGACTTCATAAAATTACTAAATAGCAGAATTACAGATAACCTCAGGGCTTGATTTTCTGCAGGCAGATTTCACTGATTGGCGGGCTTAGTAGTGAGTACTATTGATTACATGGTCTGCAAAAGGAAAACCAAACAGCAGGAAGTAGGCTGACAGGGAAGGCTGAGCAGCCTCTACCTCTCAGGGAGGGAAGCGAGGGGAGTATCTGCCACACCCACACTCCGACATCTGTGCCAGGCCTGGCCGGAGAACAGACGTGACAGCAGCAGTCATGAGCCAGGTTCTGTTCTTACACTGAGAATTTCCAAACCAGCAACACAGCCCAAGCGCCCCCGTTGAAAGAACCATACAGCCTGTCATGACGTCTCCAAGAGTCTACTGGCTGTAGAACTACAAAGCTTTTTTTTCTAACTACAAACTCAAATAATTGACTTTTGTTTTACTACAGACATAGGAAGGAGTCTAAAGTCTAAATCTTTTTTCAGATATTTTGAAAGTTTATGCTAGCAGAAAGCCATAATGTTGACATCCAGGTCTATCCTATAATTTTGTTAATATCCACAGCAGAAGAAATCAAAAGCCAACACATCCAGTCCAGATGTCCTTGCCTCCCTCTCCTAATCCTCGTAGTCAGGTCACTGATTGTCCTAGCCCCCGGGTTGCAACACGTGGTCTCAGTGATGCAGATGTAGTCAGGGGAACATGGCTGCAGAATGGGCAGCAAAGCCAGGGCAGAAAACGCAAACCAACGTTGCCACGTCTTCAGGAGTCAGGAAACAGGAGCTTTATCTATGGGGTTTGCTCTCGCCTGATCTTTTCCTCAGAGCATCTCTTCACCTTTCTTTAATACATTCCAGTGACACTGATGAACGTACTTCCTCGATAGGAATTTGGGAGGCTCACAGCCAGTGGGCCACCTTCTTTTGCTGCTTCCTGTAGCTAGCACATATTAACATAAAGTAAGGAAAATCCCGGCTTCATAAGCAGGGTGACCAGGATTTGACTTGATGTCTTTGACGCTGTCTTGCAAATCTTCAGTGAGAAACAAGGAATTTTGGTGTAGGTGTGGAAGGCAGCTGTTGGCTGACTGGATTTTGGTAGGCTCTGACTCTCCCTTGGAATTCACTGCTGGGGCAGGACAGTGGAGAAGGAGCGGTGGGTAGAAGTCACGACCTGCCAACCCTTCTCCAGCCCATGCCCCACTGCCATAGAGCAGTAGGTCTCCCTCTGTGCCCACCTGTGGCCCTCAGAATAGGTTCCCAGGATGGGCTCAGTCTACTACATCTGATGCCCACCACATCCCACACTTGGAGAGGGACAGTGTGTGACCCTGTGCTGGAAAGAACATTCTGGAAATAGTGCCCACATGGAGTGCAATTGTTGGCCCATGTCTGCTTCTTAGTCACTAGATAAAGGACAACAATGAAATTACAAGAACTGTGTGTAAATGTAAGTCCTGGGGAAGTCCTGTGGTTACCCTAATCACCACTGTGGTGTGAGTGGTGACCCTACAAGGGACCCCCGTTCCCCTATCAGGAGTCAGAAGGAGTTCAGGTGACCCTAAGCATTTTCCCCATGAACAGAGGCACTGGATTTGCTGCAAGACTCCAAAGTCTCCTTCAGAGTCGGTTACTTTCTATCTTCCTACCAAGAAGAAAAGCAAATCTGAGAACTTTTGAGATGGGTAAAAAAGGCAGAGGGAACTGAAATTGGTAATTAAATCATGACAAACTCGAAGTCGAATTACATTGTTGAAAGTCAAATAATAGTTATTACTCAACTGTAAAGTAATTGTCATTCATGGAGTAACAAAGACCCTATTCAGAACAAAAGTACCTGACTTTTACATCCCTGGAACTATTTTTAAATGCATATTATGGAGCAGAATAGAAGGGAAAGTTTTGTGGCTTATTACATGTCACATAGTTACAAATCTCCTGATTATTTAATGGCCTACATAGAATTAACTAGTGATTTTGATTGCAAGTGTAGGCTTAGCTAATCAATACTCTGAAAATGTTGGCCTTTGTCCTGTGGCCCGCGGCATGTCACCTTCCAATCAGCACTGTGCAGTGTGGCTCGGCTGCCTGTCGGCACCTGCCTGCCCTGTGTTTTTTCACAATGACAAATGTGATAGGAGAACTCTGATTGTGATGAAGGGACGTCCCATGACGAGGCTGATCTAAAACTCCGCTCTAAGTGCCCCTCTGCCCTGTGCGTCATAAAGCAGCATTGGCCACACTCTGGTGGCAGGATGTGATGCGCTGGGGACCACCTGGAGCCCAAGGGGGTGGCAGAACTGGGCTGCAGCTGTCCCCTGGGAGCCGAGCTGGGTGTAGCAGCATCCCACCCGGTAGGGGTGCAGAGGCATGGATATTACCAAGCGTGGCAGAAGGGGCCCCTGGCCACATGGCCATCTGGCCAGACCTCGCCAGCTCTCGCCACACAGTCCCTGGCCTTGGGCTTTCAGCCTCCAAGGCCGTGAGCCAGACAGACTGTTCTGCCTAGTGACCAGCCCGAGCCAGGCGCTTCATGACTACAGCGCCAAGTGGGCGGGCACAGGCGGCCTCTCCTGTCCTGCGGCCCTCTGCACACAGCTGGACAAGTGAAGCTCTGTTTTGTGATCAAAACCTAAACAAATGGTGCCCAAACAGTGCACTCATTCAGTCAGCAACTGATCATGATGCTACCAGCAGGCTCTAAAGACAAGACATCAGTTTTACTAAGTCTTTCCTGTTGTCTTCCCATTTGCCATAAACACTCCCTCAAAGGAAGAATGGCCTGCGGACTAAAGTGGAAATAAAAGTCCCGAAGTTTTTCACTTGTCCGCTGATAGCAGAGGACATTCTTATTATAGTAATTCACTTTGTTTTCATTGTATTTGGTACAGAGTCTCACTGCGCAGCTCGGACTCGTAGTGATCCTCCTGTTTTCAGCCTCCCCATCACTGGGATTACAGGTGTGTGCCACCACGCCCAGACTCAGGCACTGGCTCAGCGTGCCCCAGGCATGGAGCTGGCGGGGCATGCAGAACCGGGATTATAGTAATTTAAATACGAAAAAATACATATCTAGTAATATAAAGATTAAAGTCCCTGGGGCCAGCCTGATAGCTCAGTGGACTAAAGCACCTGAGCTTTAGCAGAGCGCAGCGGCTGGGGTTCAATCCCTGGCGTGCTGTGCTAGCCCTGCCTCTGGGGTGCTCTGAGATGGCAATTGAGACTGGGCATGAGCCTGTAATCCCAGGGCTTAGGAGGCTGAAACAGAAGGATCACTGGGAGTCCAATTTAGTAGTGAGACCCTGTAGATCCTGTCCTAAATACAAAAAAAAAAAAAAAAAAAAAAAAAAAAAAAAAAAACCTGAGAGATTAAAATCCCTGTGCATAATAATGTCAAATCCTTAAATAAATGGAAATTTAAACACCCTTAAAAATATAAAAACACCTGAGTACAATCCCTAGTTCTGAAAAAATAAAAAATAAAAATTAAAAAAAAAATATATATATATATGGTGGTATATATTTCAGGATTTTAGCCTTGGAATCATAAGGCCTAGCTTACTCAGGTTCACCATTTTAACCAAAAATAACCATCCATGAGTTATCGACTAAGGGAAAGACAATTTATCTCCATATGTCTTGCAAGAATATTGAAAAGTGGTAATCTAATGAAAAAAGTATTCATTTTCTATACTAAATATTCAAGTGGGACAGGCTGGACCATGGGACTTGTTACTGAGTTGTGACCAGCTATCAATAAGGGGAGGTCAGGGAAAAGCTGCCTGCAGTCCCTCCGGGTGCCCAAGTGCAACTTACATGCCCCTGTGTCTTTCCTGTCTGACCCGTTCTGCCTTCCCAAAGGAGCCCTCCGAGTAGGATCACTCTGTGTCCCCCACCAAATCGGAATGCTTAGTGTCACTTCTCTCCTTCCAGAGCTTCTTTGAAGGACAGTCCGCGCCGTGGGACTCCGCTAAGAAAGATGAGAACAGAATGAAGAACAGATACGGCAACATCATTGCATGTAGGTGTCGCAGTGCTGGTGCTGGTGTGACTTCTGGTGGCTGGGGCCCGGGGGGACGCTCGGGTGCACTTGTGCTTCCGTCTGCTGTGGGAACCGTGTGGTGCTCCCAGGAAGGCCCTGAAGCCTCCTGACATGCCAGGCGCCCTCTCGGTGGACCCAGTTTCACTTTAGATTGAACACATGGGTAACATAGGTAATGTTAAGTGTGAGAAGGAATCTTTCACCCAGTGTTTCCCAACTACTGCATGGGAACAAACAGAGCTACTGACACACAGAGAGCCTCATGCAGGGAGCGCGGAGTCCTCTGCCAAGCATTAACTCATTAATCCTCTGGACGCTGGGTCAGGTAGGTCAGTAATAGCCCCATTTTCAGGCCAGGAAAGCGAAACACAAAAGTTAAATGATCATCCTTGTATCACAGTACTCATTAGCAAAAGACCTAGGATTATGTCTCAGAAATTCCCAGCTCCTGTGAAACTGAATGTTACCAATCCATAATGCCTGGACGGGCTTTAAATTGAGCCCAACCTCATTAATGTTCCGTAACAACACCAAGACTCAGGCTGATGGATGAGCCCCCTCTCCCGGGGCCCAGCCATCCATCCTCAACACAAAACCGCTCCAAGCCTCACACAACTGTGTCGCGGTATGGGGGCCCACAGCAGCACCCTGGCTATATTAGTACTATTTCTAAGGATACATAACTAAGCAACAACAAGGCTTGAAGACCCACCAGCCCATCATGTCTTATTACTTGCAAGAGAGCAGACGCAGAAGGTTCGCCTGTTCTGAACAAGCAGCACTGGACCTTATTGATTGTGGAGGTGCTGTCCAGTGCTGCCTGTCCGAGTCACCATTGCTGGGGTCCACAGTGCAGTCCATGGCCGTGACCATCCCCGAATAGTGTGCCCTGCTCTCCTCCTGTCTCCTCGCAGCGGGGCACAGGGAATGTGTTTGTGCCGCCCGGTTGTCCATCTCTCCCCCCAGCAATTGTTTATTGATCACGTCCTGCTTGTAGGACATTGCTGTGAAAAAATGATTGAATGTACACATGTGCACTACTGCAGGGATGGCAGCTCATGCGTGGAGTCCCAGGACTCAGGAGATGAGGCAGGAGGATTGCTGAGTTCCAGGCCAGCCTGGACTACTCGTAGTAAGACCCTGTCTCAAAAAAAACTAAGTGAAAAGACCCACTGAACAAAGAACATAATGTCATTCCAACAACAGTGAAAGACAGTGTTTGGAGTCTCTGTCCCACCGCATACTACCCAGGGGCCAGAGGTAACTAATGAATTTGCTGAGAACATGACCCGTAGTAAAACAGAACCGAAATGCCACATCAAAACAACATTGATTGTTGTTACCTGGAAAAAAATAATTGCACCTTTTCTTCTTTGTCCTTCCTATTCATCTTAAGCTTAGTAAGCCAATAAGTCATTTAAAAGTAAAAAACAAAGAAAAGAAAGAAATCATCTTTGAAGCCTTCAGCTCCAAAGGGGTTGCGGCAGGTGGCCACCGGCAGCACCCTGCCCTGACTCGCTAGCAGCTGCCGAATGCGAGCTGCCCTTCCAGGCCAGGCTGAGCAGTTGGCCTCCCCTGGGCCTAAGCCTGCTTCCCAGGGCTGCAGTGTGCAGCCGCCAGCTGCCTCCACCACTCCTGGCCTGCCGCTCTCTCAGGGTCTCCACACTGGGCCAGGCTGCTTTCGTCCCATTCTAGAAACACTATCACAAAGACTTCTCTGCCCCCTTCCTGGCCACGTCCTGCAGCACCAGAAGCCTCTCCCTGTGCATCTGTGCTAGCTTTACCTCTAGTTCTCTGTTTTTGAAAGAAATCCCTCTAGAAGTATTATTTGTAATTGGTCATTTGTATAAATAGAGGTTTTATATATAATGTCTATATAGTTCCCTGTACGGCCATGAGCTGGCATATGCTAGGACGACAACCACGCCACCTGCCAGACAGCCACTGGTGCTTCTCAGTAGTGTCCAGATCCTCAGAGCTGGCACTCCACTCCCACTAACTAGGGTAAGTTTGATACCAGGAGTGGGGTAAGAACACACCACTTCCGCCAGCTGCAGTCACCCTGCTCCCGTGGTGTCCGAGCTGGGGGGAGGGTGTTCCATGCAGCATGAGTTCCCCGGCTGGTTCTGATGACCCACTGCAGACTTAGTGCAGTCTGGGCATCGCCTTGTGCACCACTTCATCTAGACAACCTGGATGTCTGCATAGCAGCAAAAATAAATCCTAGCTATTACCATAGATGTGCCAGGGTTGAAGAGTAAAACTAAGAATGCCCAAGTAAGCCTTTCGCAGAGACACATCTGTAGGTGCACAGTGAGGGCTGCTTTATGGCTTCGGAGAGTAGTCCTGCTGTGTGTCCACTGCTGAGAGTGTGTGGATTGCAGAAAGGTCCCTTTCACGTGCTGGGAAGTTCACCTCGCAGGGCTAAGGCCTTGGGGACCTCACCACTCCTTAGGATGAAGAACTGGGGGATTGTGACCCAGATCTGAGATTTTTTTTTTTTTTTTTTTTTGGTGGAACCAGGGATTGAACTCAGGTCCTTGCGCTTGCCAGGCAAGCACTTATTCCACTGAGCCATCTCCCCGGCCCCTGAGACGTTCTTGATGGTGCTTTACAAAGAACATAAGAAATGTTCCTAATGATCACAGTCATTGTTTTGCAGCAGTGTTTGCATATAAAAGGTTGTTGATAGTGCTTAAAAACTGGCTATTGGCTTTTTCTCTTAAGTTAAACTTCTCCCTGATTTACACTATAAGCTTGCTGAGCTAGTCCTTTCCAAACAGAAACAGAGGTTTGCTCTGCCAGTTCCGCCTGCCACATACAGACGCAGTGCTGCCTCCTAGTATCTCAGCAGCCCCTACCTATAATTAACCCCAGGCAGAAGGCGCACGCCACATCTCCAGCTAACAAGGCGGCTCCCGGCAGCTGCTCCACATTCTGGGGGCTGCCAGTGGAAGAGAAGAGCCAGGAGCCACAGAGCTTCCCCGGCAGATTTCCTGTGTCCTCTCTTCTATCATGCATTCAACAAATACACATCGGTCTGCCATGTGCCCGGCACCATGCCAAACTGAAGTCAGTTTTTCCACACATAGTCACGGAGTGCCTCTGACACCACACACGTAGCTGTGTAGGAAGGAGCAGGGAATAAACCCTGCAGAATACCTTGTATGTAGGCAGAAGCTTTGTGGGGAGTTGGCTTGTCAGTGCATCCCTGCAGAGGAGACAGAAGCAGTCCCTAAGTGCGTGGTACGTGCTGGGCTTTGAAAGGACGCATGTGCACCAGAGAACATAGAGCAGGGAGGAGATGGTTTGGGCTCAAATTGCAGAGCTTAGATTGTGGCCCAGGAAGACCTTCAGTGAGGACACTGTGCAGCACAAGACTTCCAGCAGGGAAGAAGTGGCCCTGAGCAGGGAGTTGTGCCTGTCTTAGTGTGGGTGGACAGCAAGAGCCGGTGCTGCTGGAGCACAGAGAGAGGGCAGAGAGTGATGGCGGACATAGGGACTCTGGATGGCTGCCCTCATGGCCGTGCCAGCCCCAGCAGGGCAGAGGGAGACTCTGGCAATCAGGATGAAGCAACTGATTAGGAGTAAAGGGCACTGCGAGAGGGCACAGTGCAGCAGAGTGGCCGTGTGGGGGCTGCGTGGTCAGAAGGACCAAAAAATCCTTCTGAAGGGGTTGCCGGGGGAGGTGCTGCTTCCCACTGTCGGGCGGGGGAGGTGAGCAGGAGGAGGGCCACTGAGAGGTGAGCGTCAGGCGAGGAGGGAGAAGCAGACCACGGCGCCCTCTGGAACACAGGAAGGACCTGAGTCTTCAAGGGCTCAGAAGCCCGGGTAAGAAAAGCAATGCTGTGGGCTAAAGAGAAGATGTGAATTCAAAAGAAGTGTCGACTGAGCTGAAAGGTGGTGGGGATGAGGAGGAAGGCAGAGGAAGGGCTCAGGAGTGAGCCATGTTTCTAGCTCGTGGGAAGGTGGACCACGTCTTAGTGTCACCCTTCTCATTGCTGAGACAAAATGCATAATGCCAAAGTCAAGGAGGAAAGGCTTATTAGTACATGGTTTATAGAGGTTTCAGTCCATAATTGGCTGGCTCCAAGGCAAGGCGGAGCAGCAGAGAACAGTACATGGTGGTGGAAGACAGCAAAAGCAAGCAAGGTGGGGGAGAGACAAGCCTCTTTCTGCCCCTCATCTTGTATGCAGGCTGCCCACCCTGGGGCAAGGGTAGCACTCGTCCCTTTAGTCCTAGCAGAACTATGCCAAAGCAACCAGTGGGCTGACTCACTAATCATACACCCATAATCCAGCATCATACGCTCTGCAGGAGACTTTGGAGGGACATCAAGGCACAAGCCATGACAGGTAGATGGACACATGGAGAAGTAGCTGGAGAGGGCAGGAAGGTGCCCATTTGCTCCAGTGGGCAGATTAGAAGAGGAGCTTGGGGGTGGGCTTCTCCTCACCAGAGCTACCGAGTGTCTGGAAGTGTTCAGATGAGCTTCTCCAATCAGTCGTGTGGACTGAGAAAGCGGCTGCTCCTGGGTGTAGGTCAGTGAACAGGGCTGGGAGGAAGAGAAGTTAAAGCTGTTGGCAGGAGGAGATTGTCCTGGAGCAGGGTGGGTATGGAGCCCACTTCCAACCCAGGGAGCCATGACAGTGAGCCATGACAGTGAGCAGCAGGAGGCCACACCCCTGAGCCAGAACAAGGAACATTGTGTCAGGAGAAGAGGGGTGGCCGGGTGTCCCGTGGGTAGACCTAATGCAGTCAAGACTGCTGTGGTAGTGAGGACCCCAGCAGGGGTCAGCTGGGCTGGGAAGTGGGAGAGGGCCCCTCGGGAGTCTGGATTTTATCCAGTTGGTACAAGCCATGCTTTCCCCCCGCGTCTCCTGACCACCAGATACCCAAGAGTACACCGATGTTTTTGCCCTAATCAGTCCCTCAGAGTCTTCAAGCAGTATGCAGGCTGTGGCCTGTGCGGAAGCCT